ATGGAGGAGATCATCAAGAAGCTGAACCCCGCGGAGGTTTCAACTTTGATGAAGCTAATGAAGTTGTCGGCTGGTGAGAGTGCGACAAAACCATCGAAGAAGTTGGAGACTGGTTAACAAGAAATCGTGTAGAACTAACATACGCTCAAATTAGAACTAAAATCCAATTAAACCTAACATAGAACAAACAAGACGACGATTAGAACTAGCATTAACTGATTTTACACTTAACGTCATAAATATTGATCTTAGCATCAAAAAATCCAATAACCTACGTGTCTTGTCGAACTTTCTCGTTTTTTTGGATATTTGAAGAATCATTTGCTTCTTTAAAAGCTTGCATGTGAACCTCTTTCAGTCCAAGATTGTGGCAATGCTCCACCATAGACGACAAATCCCCCTCGTTCTCAATAGGAGATTTAAAGCTTCCATTTGTTTCATCTTTGTATGATAAACTTAATAAATCATATGGAAGATCTAACATCTCTGACACATCAAATTTGAGGTCCAGAATGGTGGTTGAAGAGTTAATCTTCATGAATACTGCTTATCCCCCAAAGAGACAATGCAGATGATGTCCTTCTCAACCATTATGAAGGGAAGGTATAAGAGTAATGGATCAAATTTTAGGATAAAGCGGAGTAATAGAGAGAGTAATGCAAAGAATTTTCGTCTGAGGAGGAGTAATGGAGAACTAAATAGTTTTTGCTCATGATAGAGTAAAAAAGGGGGGGAACTTTCCCTCTATTTATTCCATCATATCACATTAATGAGACGTGAATACTGCAGTTGTTGCCTTCGAGTGGTCGTCTGGGGAAGAATGGGAAGGGTAATTTTAGGTTTTTTTCAAATACAATCTGCTTTTAGTATAATACTGACGTGGAGGGGCCTTGGCACATTAAACATCACTTTTTTGGGCTTATCTACATGGGGCAGAATACAATGGGCATCGTCACATGAAGTTTTCGCTTTTGGGGTATGGACACATTTTTTCCTAAATTATATTTAAAGTTGATGATTAGTCTCCCTCTTAAAAATATTTCCAGTGTTGTGATCACACATGAGCATCAAAATTTTTAGGTCAAATCAATATGTGAGGGCCTCTCATCTCATCTAATTGTGATGGGATATTTCCAGTGTTGTGATCACATATGAGTACCAACTTTTCTCTAAATATTTATTTAGATTGAGATTTAAGCGTTAGATTATTTTAGGTCAAATCAATATATGAGGCCTTATGTCTCATCTAATTGCAAGGATATATTTTCGGTGTTGTGATCTCACGTGAGGACCAAACTTTTTAATATTATTTTTTAAATATTATAAAAAAGGAAAAATATTATAAAGGAGAGTTTGTTTAAATATTATAGAAAAGGAAAAATGTTATAAAGGAGAGTTTGATGGTTAAACTATCTAATTTTAAGTTTAAAATTTTGAAATAAAAAATATCCACGCACACATCTGGCAGACCAACTTTTTATTTTTCCTTTTTATCTTAGAATATTATAAGTAAAGAGAAATATTGTAAAGGAGAGGCTGGTGATTAAACTATTCAACTCTGAATTTTAAATTTTGAAATAAAAGTCATTCACCCCTTTATTTTGAATTTCTTTTAAGTTTCAGACAATTTGAAGAAAAAGCTCCAATTCACATTATCTAATTTTTAATAATCTATATACTATATTATCTAATTTTTAATAATCCATATACTATAAGTCATTGGTACAAGCCATTTTTATGCCCTTATTTATAATAAATGGAGTGTATATATATATAAATAGAAAATAAGAAGCAATTGTTGATAAAAACTATGTTCAAGTCAACTTAGAAGCATGCATATTTTCAAAGAAGAAACCTCTAAAGACACAATATCAGATATAAAAAAATTAGACTCCTACCCTTCCAAACTAATAACGCGGATAAGTTCCCACTATCGTGCTCCATATTATTCATTCTACATGTAAGATTCTCTCGTGTGAGCGCAGGCCAAACACTTGAATGTAATATAAGAGTATAAAGACTAATAATTGCTTTTAAGAGAAACAAGAGTAGTCTATCATAAATCATTTATAAAAACTAGTTTATAGTGTACTACAGATTTCTTTCTACAAGAATTAGCAAAACTAAAAAGAGTCCGAGCCAAGCCAAGTTGGAGCTAGTGAGGGATTGGTACGAGTGTTAATGACACGGGTCCATGCCATAATCAGCACCAGGTTGGTCCATGCCATAATCAGTACCAGGTTGGACTGCTCACTAGTATGCTGGAACATTATTTCCAAGTTGGAGCTAGTGAGGGATTGGTATGTGTTAATGACACGGGTCCATGCCATAACCAGCGTGGCTGATACGCACATGATAACAATGTACATTAGAAAAGCATGCAAGGCACATTCATGCGAGGAGTGTGCTCGATGGGGTACACTAGATGCCGCTGAAAACGGACACGAAGTGGCTACTCGAGACATGTCATAACAATTGTCATCCATTGATTATGATTGTTGTTTGGTATTGTAGCATATATAATATATATATATATATATATATATATATATATATATATATAAGGAGAGAGAGAGAGAGAGAGAGAGAGAGAGATTTAATGGGTATCCTTGTCATAGGAGGGGATTTCCTCAAATGACGCCTCTAAAATCACATGATTGAGCCGACATTGTGGATGATCCGTTCCGTTGAACTTGATCTAACATATTCTAAAACCCCAACACACCAAGTTTGGGGTGAACCGTCGTCGTTTGACGCCTTCATCCACTCTCGATCAATTTTACGTGTTTTGAATGAATAGAACTTTTCACATGGCTCGATGAGGGTCAAACGACGACGGATTCACCCCAAACTTGATGTGTTAGGGTTTTAGAATATGTAGATCAAGTTCAACGAGCGGATCATCCATAATGTCGGCTCATCATGTGATTTTAGAGGCGTCAAGGAGGAAATCCCTTCCTATGACAAGGATACCCATTAATCTCATATATATATATATATATTATATATATATATATATATATATATATATATATGAGATTAATGGGTATCCTAGTCATAGGGAAGGGATTTCCTCCTTGACGCGCTCTTAAAATCACATGATTGAGCAACATTATGGATGATCCGCTCGCGTTGAACTTGATCTACATATTCTAAAACCCCAACACACCAGGTTTAGGGTGAATCCGTCCGTCGTTTGACCCTTCATCCGAGCCATGTGAAAAGTTCTATTCATTCAAACCGTTAAAATTGATACGAGTGGATGAAGAGTCAAACGACGACGGGTTCACCCCAAACTTGTCGTGTTGGGGTTTAGAATATGTAGATCAAGTTCAACGGAGCGGATCATCCACAATTGTCGCTCAATCCATATGATTTTAGAGGCGTCAAGATGGAAATTCCCTCCTATGACAAAGGATACCCATTAATCTCTCTCTCTCTCTCTCTCTGCTCTCTCTCTATATATATATATATATATATATATATATATATATATATATATATAGAAACTTAATCTTTGTGGCATCATCCACCAAGTTTCTATCCATTGATGATACCTAGAGATTTGTGCATCATATGAATAGACTTTTCATCAATGGATAGAAACTTTGATGGATGGTCCACTTAAGTTGACGTAAGTTTCTCGTCTCTCTCCTCTCTCTCTCTCTCTCTCTCTCTATTAAATATATATATATACATATATATATATATATATATATATATATATATATATATAATATATATATATATATATATATATATATATATATATATATATATATATATATATTAATATATATATATGGAAGAGTGTTCCTAAGGTGACGCCTTGATAATCATCTAAGGACACGGTCTAAAATCACATGATTGAGCTACATTGGGGATGATCCTCTCTGTTGAACTTGATGTACAATTCTAAAATTCTAAACACCCAGTTTGCGGGTGAACCCGTCGTCGTTTTGACTTCATCCACGTCGTATCAAATTTTAACGGTTTCTAATGAATAGTATTTTTCACATGGCTGCGACAGAGGGTCAACGACTATGGGTTCACCCCAAACTTGTGTGTTTGAGTTTTAGAATATGTAGATCAAGTTCAACGAGCTGATTATCGCGAATGTAGCTCAATCATGTGATATTTAGGGCCGCATCCTTAGATGATTATCTAAGGTGTCACCTTAGAAACACTTTTCCGATATAATATATATTATATATATAATATATATATATATATATATATATATAATATATATATATATATATATATATTCCAACATACTAGTGAGCAGTCCAACCTGAATAGGAAGGATTTCCTCCTGACGCCCTCTAAAATCACATGATTTTTTGAGCGCACATTATGGATGCATCCGCCTCCGTTGAACTTGATCTACATATTCTAAAACCCTTAACACATCAAGTTTGGGGTGAATCCGTCTTTCGTTTGACCCTCCATCGAGCCATGCTGAAAAGTTCTATTCATTCAAAACGTTAAAATTGATTACGAAGATGCGATGAAAGGGTCAACGACGACGGGTCACCCAAACTTGGGGTTGGGGTTTTAGAATATGGTTAGATCAAGTTCAACGGAACGGATCATCCACAATGTCGCCCTCAATCATGTGATTTTAGAGCGTCATTGGAGGGGAAATCCCCTCTATGACAAGGATACCATTAAATCTCTCTCTCTCTCTCTCTCTCTCTCTTCAATATATATATATATATATATATATATATATATATATATATATATATATGCCCTACAATACCAAACAACAATCATAATCAATGGATGACAATTGTTAGGTGACATGTCTCGAGTAGCCACTCGTGTCCGTTTTCAGCGGCATCTAGTGGTACCCCCATCGAGCACACTCCTCGCATGAATGTGCTGATGCTTTTCTAATGTACATGTAATCATGTGCGTATCAGATCTCCGCTAGATCGCATTGCTGCGCTGTTTGGAGCCAAATCTCATTTTGCTGTGTAAAAAGAAGCAAGCTGCAATATAAACCTCATTTACATAAACCCTTGTGCACTCTTGGAAGGGGAAAAAACAAAAACAAAACAAAACCATCGCCTTTCACCATTAATGGCAAAGAGATATTCACGACCATGTTTTTCCCCTTGGATAGATTCAAAGATACACATGCTTTGCCTTATCATGAATTGATTGAAGGCGTTCCACCGTATGAAATAGGGCAATCACAAATCTCAGCTGCATCCACTGATTGCTTGACTCGGTAGCCCCCTTTGCTCTCAACTTGTCACGGCATATAAAGCAACTCCAGCTGGTGAAATAAATACCTTCAATCAATTGGTATGGGAAGAACACTGCATAGACATATTTTATATTTTGAACTGGAGGTCCCTACGACTCTTGGAAGTCAATGGTAGCAAGTTCCTCTCTAACTCGAGAAAAACTTGGCAGTCAGCAATTCAATCTAAAACTTGCAACAGCACGTACAAGCCTTCCCCGAAGGCAATAGATCTATGCAAGATATTTGTGGGTTAAAAAAAAACCTTTCAAATAAAACATTACTTTACAAGTTTACAACATTATGCAAAATTCTGGCTAAAAATTTAAGAACCAATTGATATGATCTGCACAAGATCTCAGCAACCAAATGAATCAGCACCATCCTCAACATCATCAGTTTTGATGCCACCACTTTGTGCCATAAGAATTCTGTATATTCTCTTCGAACACATCTCCCCCAATCTCCTGTCTTCCTTACCCAACAGCCCCTCGAGCATCAGATCCTTGAGCAAGAATTCCTTCTCATGAACCTGTCATGAGAAAACGGAAGGATTTGATATATTTACTCAAGTTTCTTTAGTGACCAATTTGATGTCCATGGTTGCTATTTGGTGCCACTTACCGATTTATTTGGATCCATGTATACATTCAGAAGAGATCTCATGGTAGGATATCTTTTCCAAATAGCTATAGCATACCTTGGTTGTACTTTAGGAATTGCTACCAGGGCTTTGAGCCTGCAAACAATGGATAATTGGTCAACAGACGGGGGAAGGCAGTTTAAGTGAGAGGTGACCGCTGACGGCGCAACAAAATAAAATATAGCAACTATGGGGTAGCATTTCAAAAAAAGACCATTTCCAACTTGTTATGGAAGATGCAGCCAAAATTCCTGCCATGACTATTTACAGCAATTTCTAAATGCAGTTGCACCACAGAATATAGTTATGGGGCTCTTGTAGTCACAATAAAACCGTTAAAATAACAGCTTTTTAATAGCGCAAAATAACAGAAATTATGCAGGAAAACATGCTCTTTACATTTTCACACCAAAAAAAAAGTGCATAAGACGGGATTAAATGTCATTGCCTTGTAATGCCTGTGTTTGACCAAGTCAAAGTCCTAGAATTCATAAGCTACTTCTTCGTCTTAAAATTGTAGCCCACAATAACACCTAAAATGAAGTATAAACAGAAAATGAATACCTTTAACTGTCTAAATATTTATAAACAAAAAACTTACCAAACATTCTTTTTTATCAGATTTCTATCGATGAAATCCTTAGAAACAATAGACCCATTAGCATTTACAGAAAGATGTGTCAACTTTTTCCTGCAGTAAATGTAGCAACAACCAAGATTTCAGAGGTATTAAAAATGCAATATAACATGACAGGAAAATATGCAAGGAAATCATAGGAACGGTACTAAAGTTGGATCAACATCAAGTGCAACCAAAATCACTCACAGAGAAGGTTTGTCTAGAAAATGTGACGATCTAACAAAACCATAATTTATAAATATAAAAATATAATAGTTTGTTTTGTGTAAAAGATTATCCATGCAGTGACGTAACAAAAACATAATTTATAAAAATCTTTAAAAAAATCTGATATTTCGTTTTGTGGAAAAAAATAATAAATATATAAATAACATGTGTGCACATGCACACACCCATGCACGCACTTGCACAAAAACAACAAACTTCTAACAATATCCATCTGTTTTTCAGTTCAAAAGTTAACTGGAATTTCTAGTTTAATCTATATATGCATCTCGGAGACCAAAGCAGACATTAAATTTTGGGATTTATTTCATTTATGATCTAAAACTTGAATCATTTTTCAAATCAATATGCCCTAAAAATCATGCATTACATTTCCTTTTAAATGTTTACTGACTGTCTCTTGCTTTTAAATTCCATGTTAAAACTACTTTCAAAGGGAGGCATATTAAAGTTAAAATCAGATTAGTTAACATCTATCTCAAAAAGAGATCTAGTAAAAATACTCCCAGGTTGTAATTAAAACTAGGGTTATTTGCGGATAGACCCCCTGTAGCATTGCTGTTCTGAACTTCCTGCCCTAGATTTATTTTTGCAGATAGCCCTCATGAGTGAATTTTTTGTCATTGTTTTATCCTCAAGTGGTCTATTTGATTAAAAAAACAAGAAACAATTTCCTCTTTCTCTAAGGGTAAAAGAGTCAAATATTTCACTCAGGGGCAAAGGAAGTCCAAATCAGCAACGTTACAGGGGGCCCATCCAGCTTAGGATGCACATTCAAACCATCATACATAAGCATCCGCAGCCTGCAACTGCGACTGCAATTTCATTTGGTAAACTGTTACAACTACACCTGCAACTGCAATTTGCAAAAATCAGTTTAGTTCCTTCAGGTTAGGCATATCTTGACATAAATGTTTGGTGCATGATAGTCTATAATCCTTCAGGTGGCTCTAGAAACCTTGCACACTGGCATAGACCATGGTAGTGGGAATAAGAGAATAAGTCTACTATGCATTTTAGATCTAAAGGAAAACAGAATGTGTTAAAAGAGATGACCATAAAGAAATGAACCGAATAAATTTTCACTGTAGACCCAAATGACCTTTTAATTACCAAAATCAACTGTTTTTTTTTAATTACCAAAATCGACCCGTTTTATGCCACGTAGGCTTAATCCTGTTCCCTAATTAGTCGGGGTTGCCAACCCCGACTGTTTAGGAGTTGTTAAACCCCAATTAGAAGCCTTAAAACCCGATTTGTAATACCCTAAACAGTCGGGGTTGGCAACCCCGACTAATTAGGAAACGAGATTAAGCCTACGTGGCATAAAACGGGTCGATTTTGATAATTAAAAAAAACGGTCGATTTTGGTAATTAAAAGCTCATCTGGGTCTACAGTGAAAATTTGTTCAAATGAACCAGATTGATGAAGGCACAGATATTGAAAATATCAATTAATTGGACATCGCAGGGTAAGAGGAAAATTTTGTTTACTTGGAAACCTTTTTATCATCTCACACCAACCTAATTTCCTCGGGAGCACTGAGCCAAGCTGTAGCCCAGTAAGAATCAACAAGGAGGGGACCAATTAGGCCTGCCCGATGAAAGGTGCCAAGAAAGTAGAAAGAAACGAGGCTGTTAAAAGATCATCCATGGTCATAAGTATCAACTATAGTTGACAAAAGAAGTGATTATTCATCAAAGAAAAGAGGCAAGGGAAAGGAAAGGAGGAGGATAAACTGATTATCATGAAGAAAGAAACCCAGTCTTCTGTTCTGATAACAGTAAAGGAGTCCACCAGTTTGTGCTTAAGGTAGAGGCTTTGGCACCTCTGAGATTATTTGGTGGTACCCTATTCCAGGTCAGGATCTGTTAATAAATTTATGAATCGTCATTTCTAAAATAGACTGCTTTGTTTATTTCTAACAATACTTCCTATTAATTTGTTCTAACAAATGCTACATCAATGAGATAAGGCTGTCCTCTGTAGGAAAAAAAACAATCATATAGAATCTAGAGAAGAAAAATGTCAGAGAAGCATTTTAGACCGAAATTTGATTTGTTATCAACAATATGAGAAATTAGAATTGAATATATGTCAGGGAGGGAACACATGAAACTTTCTAGAGTCACATATCAGGAAAATTCGACGACATTATATGGATATATTCATTACGTAAAAACTGAAGTAAATCACGAACAAGTCAAATTTTACTCACCTAAACTGGCAACTGGCGAGGCTAGACGTCAGACCAACAATGTGTTCGGCTAGTTCAGCTTCATCTATGCATTGCCTTGAGTGCACTTTTGTATAATGTGTTGTTAATTTTGATAAGACCTGCAACTCATGTTCCCAATCAAATTAGTTTCGGCATAATGGTGTCATTATACATGGAACTTGCTGAAAAAACTAACAGTAGTTCAACTAAATAACAACCTCTTCAACTGGAGGACGCGTCCAAGAGCTGGCATGTGAAGGATTCTTATACTGATTCTGTTCGCTAAACATCAGAAGCATTACATGCATGAAATGAGTTGGTAAATAGGAAACTTAATGGTGAACAAAGCATATCAAGATATATAGTATTGTAGATATTATATGATTATAGTGTAAATTTGCGTAAATGCATTGGAAAGGAAACGTTTTGATGAATCCAATACTGGAAGAATCACATCGAATGCATCATGCATCCTAATGTACAGAATTGTCCATAATAGGCAGCCCCTAAAATTGAAGACAGGGATACAGTCTATAGGTGTCTATACAAATGCCTCTGTAGTTAACTATTAAAAGTTACTATCAAACAATGGCTTGATTGGTTTCGCCATCTACTACACAAGTTGACCAGAGAGACATCTTGACATGGTTTTCGCTTGAGAGTCAGCACATGAGGTGATGAAATCTTAGCGGAAGTTAACATATCTTGGTATATTGGCTTGTTATGGATGGACGAGTGTGGAGTGCTGCTGAAGTCTCCTTAAAATATCTGAATGTCAAGCATACCGAAAGCTGAAATATGAAGTGTCTGGATAACAATGACTAAAACCATATATTGTAAATGGTTACAAAAAGTAGTCTGTCAATTTCACTTTTAAACAAGTTAAAACTATGCAAGAATAAGAATTGAAGTGTAAAGAATGATTTATTTTGTTCAAAATTTTCTTTATTTGTTCAAAAGAAGCAGAGAAAGGAGAGTGATTAGAGGTCCCAAGTCTGAGATCCTTAGATAAGCAGTAGTCAAGGTATCTACAATTTTTGTGTTGTAAAGGGAAGATTGAAGCCAAATAGCTATAAAACAATAGTTTTAGTTTACTAGAACCATCACCATACTGTTTTAGCTCGGTGGAAAGCCAAATTCTTTTCCTCAAGATCCTTCGAGTGGAAATATGGAAAGAAGTAACTAATCAGATGGATTTGGTAGAATCCCCCTACTCTAGAGGGATCATCTAAAAGTGAGTAGCTTTGGATGCTTCACCAAGAAAAGCTGACAGATGTTATGGATCTCGCTTTTAATACATCGATCCTCCATAGAGCCAAATGAAATCAAAATTTCGCATTCGGTTTTGAATTAGAGACATTAAAAATGATCAATCAACGTTGACTATAGCCCTTAGCCTTACAAGCTAACAATGCGAATCTGATTCCTGCTACCCGCTCCATATTCCTTTTCTACATGTATTATACAGGTGTTATTCTCATGACTTCAGGAAGTATTCATGTTTGGCACATGCCTGCCCTAACCGAAATCTTTGGAGATGATTCTGTACTACACTTAGGTGGAGGAATTTTAGGACACCCTTGGGGAAATGCACAGGTGCGGTAGCTAATCAGGTAGCTGTAAAATCATGTATACAAGTTCATAATGAGGAGCGCGATCTAGCTTGTAAGAGTAATGAGATTATCAGCGGAGCTGACACATGGAGCCCTGAACAAGCCAATGCATGTGAAGTATGGAAAGAGATCAAATTCGAGGTCGAACCAGTAATAAGATAGACAAACAGAAAGTATAAGAACTAAGCGCACACAACAGTGATTTCTGTATGTTCTCCTAATTGATTGCAATTAAACTCGGCCTGATCCTTTAAAAAAAAGGATTGCACTGAATAAAGAATGGCCATTCTATACTGTGTTTGCATAGATATTTCATATGTACAGATCTTGTATATACAAGATCTAAAGTAAATACAAGATCAAATTGAAGACTGTTGTCAAGAACGTAGAGGTAGAATGGACAGTTGGTCAGATCTAGTATGGATCATACATGGACGATTGTCGGAGTCAGCAGTTCTCCTAGCGTTCCATCATTTGGGATCCCTGGGGAAGAGGATCAAGTTGGCCCTTACGAATAGCTTGACATACCATCTCCCTTCAACCCTTTGCTTTAAGTGAAATGTGGCAAAAGGAATGAAAATCCACAGACCAACTCCGTCATATCCCATCCGTAAGAACTACGAGAAATTATTTTGAGCAAATCAATGCAAAGGATACCTGTCCTGATATTGCCTTTTGGTCTGTTCACTTCAGTGTATGTGGATCAGAAATGACCATACGAAGCCATGTGGACCTCAGACCTCTTGATTTATATTATATGTAATGAGATCTAGGATTTCTGATGGAACATCGACACAAAACCCATGGTATGACATCTGTTATATTCTACCATTTATTAGAAGCTTTCGGGTATATTTATGCCCATGTAGCCACCTGAACATCGTTATTTGTTTGAACAGAAATTTTCAACTTATCGTTTGAGACATGGTAGAAAACATGAACAAGGAATGACTGAAACCTTCAACTTGATTAAATTAGGTTGTGAATCTTGTGATGCTCCTTTACCACGTAAATAACATAGGTATAAGATCTGGCAGCACAAGAATGAACAGTCATTAACACATCATAAGATACTAAAATGAATATAATACTCTCGCTCCTGAAAAGTATTAACTTGGATTTGTGTAAAAACTTCTGAACAAATCAGCAGTATGGCTGATCCCTGAGGACCATCAAGTGATCTGCAGTTTATCAAAAGACAATTCTCATGATATTAATTGTTCCCACCATAACAGGCTAAGTTTTGGGACATCACTGGATTAATGCAACTTTTAAGCCACTGAATAGCTTAGAAAATCTACTGCAGTACAGGTAATGCAGTTAAGGCTATCATAACAACAAAATTTGAAGCCAGTTAAAACTAAGTTTCGAGGTTTTAGTTATGTGCTTGAAATCTAGGCTCTCTAGAAAAGTACTAGACAAAGATTAACAAAGACCAGCCCAGGAAAGTTCAAAAGAACACTGCACATAAGAGAGAACCTTAATAATTGTTAGCTTGGGGGAGAAAATGATACAAAAGAAGATAGAGCAAATACTCTACCACTAAAAACATTCTCAACTCCAGTTTCTTTCAGTTGATTCATGAGCATCATAAGTTCACTGAAGAAGAGAAAAATCTCACAGTTTTAAATCAGTAGTTTAGACATAACGAGACAAACATTCAAAGATATAAAATCGATAATTCCTCGTAGGACTTCAAATCTCTTTATATCTAAACTAACCAAAACATGTCATGTAGAATCAACAAATCACAAACAAAAAAATTGATCACAAATGCAACTGATGTACAGTTAATCATTCTCCCACATTTGGCCCAATTCCACATATAAGTTTCACTACCAAGGAAGGGATTAGACAAGACTAGCACATGATGTTTTCTCCCTAAATTAAACCATATAATATCTATATACATGTTGAAAATATGTAGACATGCAGAATATTGTAAAGAAGCAACACAAGCATAGGGTTCTCCGCAGATGAGCCCTTAAATTAACTTGTAAGATATCATAACAAAGATATAGAAAACCTAAAGAAGACATTGTAAGAGAAACTGCAGAGCATGACTACTAACAAGGACTGACCATTTATTGATATAACTCATTAGTTTGTTCGTGAGGTAGCAGACTGTGAATGATGGATGGAAACTTTGAACTCTTCGGACATTATCCATAAGAGAGTCACTTCTAACAAGTTCGCAAAATTCTTCGGCCTGATAAACAAGCAACACGTATGGAACTTCTGATCTTACGCTTGAGATCTGCATCAGAAATGCAACAAAAGTAAACCATCAATATACAATCAGTAACATAAAAATGTAAGAAACGCCTGGCTTTCGTTTGCCAAGACTTTCATATTAAACTTTTGAGTTATTCTTAGTCAATTTCTCGTTGGGTTTTCAAGATACAAGTGGTTTTTGCAACTCTATTTATTCCTATAGCAACAAGTTTAACTTTATTTTCTTAAAATAAATTATGTGAACAGTCACTTAAATCTATTACAAAGACTGCCAAAAAAAACAATGCCACCCTTTTTACACTTAAATTTTAGAATAATTTTAATCAGGAATACCGAGAACAATATATCAATCATGTTAAAAAGAGCAAATGAAGATGCTGATCCTAAAAGATGAATAAAGAGCTGCTCCAGTCATCTTTATCCTCGCCAGAAATCAGAAATAATTTTTCTAAACTTGAAAAACCACTAATTGGAACTCCAACTTATAATTTAACCCGGAAATTGAAATTGTCAAATCATTTTACAGGATTTCAAGTAGCTGCAACATCTAATGATGATGTAAATTTTTAAATAAGTATGACTTACAACATAAGAAAATCAATATCAAACTTCAGAAGAGAACCTATACAAAATGTGATGAAAGATTGATAACCATTAAGCAATAAACAGGGACAAGAATGGGTCATGTATCGACAAACCGGCATCCATATTCAATTTTTCATTCAGAAGGACATTCTCTCATCAATATGGATTCAGATCGGATGTGTTTTCTTTAAAACCTCTATATAATGATATCTACATTGGACCTCTGAAGTTATCATAATATCTGGATAGTGGATATATATCGGATTACTTTACATTTGAACCAATTCCTTAAATAACTAATATAAAATATAATCTTGAAGAATGTTTCTATTAAAGTTGAACCACCTTTGTAACGATATCCTGATATTAACTTCACATATGAGAATCTTTCAAATAACCCTTCCTAGTTTTTAGTATACATCACATATCCGTCTTATAAGCTTTTCTTGTCCACAATTTCCTTAAGTTTGACTTTCTAACTAAACATTTTTTAAATTATTAACAAATCTTAAAATTTGAAATAGTTTTATTTGGGAGTTTTGAGTTATTAAAGGTTATAACTCAAGGAAGATTATAGAATAGAAAATTTATTTGTTTTTGAATTGATTTGTATTATTTTATCTTAAGCGGGTATTGAAGTAACCAATATCCGTTCCATATTTGTGCCCTATAAAAACAAATATACATACAGGTTTTCATAACCATTTTTTTCATAATGATGATATCCACCTGTATCTGCTAAACAACATTTCCACTAAATAAATTAAGATACCAAGATTAATATACTCATCAAATCCATTTTCAGCCTGAGCAAAAAAAGAAAGAATCCATAGAAGAAGAAGTTAGAAACAAACTTTTAAAAGAACGCTATTCACGAGACCATACATTACAACACTTTTCCTGAAGATATTTATTGCCAAACAGAACAAATGAACATACACACACATATATTCACACACGCAGTGACGCACACACATACATAAAAAAATACTACACTAGAATACAATACAGTACAACACCATTTAAATATACGGGGAAGACTTTCTCGTTCCCAGGGCATAACTAGCTTAGTTGCACCCAGTGGAAAATGACCTTATTTGCCCTCCCTTTCTAAATAAAGTAATAATACTATTAGTAATTTTAGACGGGAACATGCTACTGAATTTACGCCTCATAAGGTGTCAATCAAATTATCTTCACATTCATATAATATAACCATATCAGTTATTGTCCTCATTTCCTGTGCACAGTGCCCTTTCTTCATTTTCTTTGTAAAACATCTCAACCTAATCTTATGGGTGTTGTAAATAATATATTTCTTTATGGATGATTCATAATATTTCACATTCTGCACTATATGAGTATCTAATGAACTTGGAGCTGGTTGTCGAAGAGCTGCAAATTTGGAGGTTATGTTAGTTTTGAAAAGCATCCAGACGAGGGTATTACTGGCTGCTTCAATCATTCTAAGCAGCACTCAACCTGTTCTCTCTCACACAGGTGAGAATTCTACTAGACCTTTAAAATATGCAGGAATATCAATAGGAGCTAGTTGGCAAACCTCGGTTGCATTTATAAATACAACATGCTATTATCTTGTAGTTGTTGATTTGCCTATTGGAGCAGTTCTTGGGTCCAAGTTTAAGCTCAACACAATGGCAAGAAACTATAATTTTTAATCTAATATGGTGGTGTAGCTGAAATAATTGGTATTTATGAAATTTATAATTTACCCGACAGATAAAATCAGGGTGAGGAAATATAAAAAACATGAAACGGTAGTGTAATAAGCACACAAGTGATAGGTGCATTTTTATATTAAACGAATGAGAAGATAAATTTTAGTTGACATCTCATGAGATTTAGAGAGGTAACTAATTAATATGTTCTCATTCAAATTTACTAACAACATCCTCACGTTAATCATAAAAAGAGAGGTCACAAGAAGTCATTTCCCCCAGGAAACTGGTTATGCCCTGTGCACAATAAAGCCTCCCCCTATTTGTTTGCGTGTGCATGCGTTTGAATGTGTGGGCATGGGCATGTGTGTGTCAGCGTGTGCATGTGTTCTCAAAAAATCAACACCTAAATTAGAAATGAATATATCTGCAATGAAATGGCATGGACTAAAAAAGGAGACGGATTATTTCAAACTTGCAGTGATGAAGTTAAAAGTGTTCAAGGAATTAAATAGAAAAAAATAAGTAGATTTCATCCGTCCTATCCATTTAACTATTTTAGCTTCATATGAACTATATTATCTACTGAAAAATGGTTTTGTGGGAGATGTTACTTTATAATCATGGAAAGCTTCACTCAAATTGTAGTAGGGTTGATAAACCATCTTCGTTGATAAGTAGGCAATGTCATATATTCTTCCACATCAGCATTAATTGCCATATCTGCTCATGTTCGTACTATGTTATACAAATTTTAGAGGATTTAGTTCAATTTTAGATTTTTCATGTTTAAGATGATTTCCTTGTTTATTTAAATTATTAGGGAATTGTTTGTATGACTTAAAAGATTGCGCTATTTGCTCATTTTGTTATGAAGAGTTCCGGCATTGAGCTTTACACTTTGCTAATTTAAAGTCAACATTGACTTGTCACTATAAAGTATATTACTACCTACGTGTAATTATAAAGTATATTACTACCTTGCAGAGAATGTAGCCTCCCAGATAAAACGCCCATCAAGTGAAACAGTTTTACCAGCATAGCAACTGGGTGAGTAACATGCCATAGAATGTACTCCTGTAGAATTTTAACTGTATAATCTCTTTTTTATGGGGAAAAACAGTTTTATAATAATGTCATAATTAGAATAACGATAAACCTCGCATGTTTACCATAAAACCAACACAAGATACGCTCTTTTAAAAAAGTATTGAACCATTATGAGGAACAGTATAATGATAGGAAATTTCATAACGAGATTAAGATAGGCGCATTTTAACTATATACAGAAGCAAAAACCAAGTGTATGAAAATTGAAAAATGACAAACTTTGTGCGTTGGCAAAAAATTCCTATACTGAAAAGTATGTAATTCCTAAAATCAGTACCTGAGCAATTTGGTCAGGCACACTCATTTGCCACAATATAGATCTTTCAATAGGATTTGAAGTTATGCGGAAAGAAAGTCCTTTTTCAGCTAGTCGAGTTAGAAGATGACCTGAATTTAAACCAAGCCACACATTAGTAAATTGCAGAGATTTGGATTCCATTCGTAAAAAAGAACATAAAACTTGCATACCCCCAACCGAACCATTTTCAACAACTTTAGCATCAATTTCAGCTACAATAGACTTTACTGCCAGTTTCCCTTTTTCCCATTTCTGCTTTTCCTTCTCCAGTTTCTTCTTCTCTGCTGCTTCAGCTTTTAAAGCGTCCCTTTGAAACTTCTCTTCCTGCAGAATAGAATAATTTTCTTTCTAAGCTTAGTCATTCAATTACGCAGTCACCAAAGATGCAGCAATCCAGATTTATCCTAACCTGCCTTTTACGCTTTTTTTCTTCAAGCATACGAGTTTTTTCTTCTTTCTCTGTCTTCTTTCTGGCAGCAATCTCACTTTTTTTATTATTTTTTTCAGATTCAGATGAAGCACGTTTTCCTTTCTGCTTGATAGTTTTATTTACCTGCTCAAACATGTTGCCTGCCTCATCATTATAGCTTCTCACCTGCAAATGATACACGCATTTCACCCTGGTTCAATTTAATTGTTAAAGTAATTAAATGAACATGTTCGTAAAGTTGATTCAAGAAATTATTCACAATCACAATGTGAATAAAAAGTCATTTTAAGAAGGAGAACTCAAAAAATCCATAACTAACATGTAAATACTCAAAAAAAGGAGATGGAGACATCCATGTACAGAAACTATTAATAATTTTGTACGCATAGAAATTTCAGTCAACAATAACGTCTTGTTAATTTGTGAAAATCCATAAAGGTAAGTAAAGAACAGTGCCTTTATACCTCAATGCCAGAACCTAATAGAAACATGGTTCAAATGGAGAAATTATTTGAGACTAGGAGTTCTACTTGGGTTCTAAACAATCTTACACAGAGGTTGACTTGAATACCCATTTCAATTCTCAAGTAGTCCCTAATTTCTTTCAGACATTCAACATTTCTTGCTCACGAAACTAGAACCTCTAGGTTAAAGACTTCCTCCAAAAATTCAATTTAAATAGCATATTCTTTAGCTCTCAAGTTTATTCTAACTTCCACTCAGAAAGAACAGAAAAAGGGAGAAAAAGATAAAAGTTAAAAAGAACAGATGAATGTTTACAATGATGCTGTTTTGTTTATGATGACTAACAAAAAAATTCATTTGATAAAGTTAAATATTAAGACATGCATTAATTTAGGCAATAGGTCCTGGACATCTTCCACAAAAGAGCTTAATAAATTCAGCTCCTATACTGAAAATCTTGTGTTTTAACTTTTAAGAAGTGTACTACACAGTGCACTTCGTATCAAACTGCAGGGTCCATGCTTTGAAGCACAGCCATAAACAATAGAGTTAGTGCATCAAGCGTTTTCCAAGAAAAGTGCATGCTTATCACTGCACTTTGAGAAGAGCCCACAATGTATGACAAATAAATTAATTTTTTAAATGAAAATTCCATCACGTGGAACTTGAAAGGCTGACATCATATTATTTTCTTTTCCAAATTACCTCTTCAACTCGTGTTAGGGCACTGTCGCTGTCCTAAACACGATCAACCACCAAATCTATGGCATATTTGACTAAATTGATGGAAATTTCACCAAATGGTTGTAGTGATTAAAATAAATACGGTGGTGTCATAATGTTCACAGAGTTCAAGGGTTCCATGTCAAGAACCACGTACCTTGTCTGAGTACACTGCCCATACGCGGGTAAATCATGTAACGAAAGCTATTATGCATTAGTCGTCTCCAAAATAGTAAACTATGAACTACATAAACACATTCTATAAGAAAGGAACAGAAGTTGTAATTAAGTTACGAAAAATATAACTTTTCATGTAAAGATGAGTACAGATTTTTATGATATGACTGACCAGTATAGAATTATAATCTGTGCTATTAGTTAGATATAAAATGACAAAGATATACTGTAGACTTACCTGCAGCATAACATCCTCATCCATGCAGTCAACATGAGGATTGTCTTCTAAGCCTTGCATTGAACTAGTGGCACCTGAAACGGAACTGCCATTTGATCAACTAACTGACAAGCAAACCATATAACTGAACTATCAATTCTCTCCACCTTAATACAATAAAGTTTTGATGTGTACCCATGCATCCATTAGGCAATCCATTTGTAGAACATCTAGCAGTGACTTTCACACTGTCCTCGTTGTTGGCTGATGTTTCTTGTCTTAGTGGAGAACAAATTCCAATGCATTCTTTCTCGGACAGATAATGCATTGGACTTGGGGACCTAGAAAAGCTAGACCTTTTCGCCGAGCAGCCAACCAGTCCAAAACTTGCAGCACAATGTTTTTGTGTGGTAAAATTCCCTTTGCATGAACCGTCTTCAGACTCATCATCTGATTCCAAACATATGAAACCAGAAACTCCTGCAAAAGGTTATAAGAGATATTAAAAGTTTTCCTACTCACAGAGTACGTTGTTTTTTCTGACGGAAGAATAAAGAAGATCTGAGAGGACCCCGCTGCCCTCGTGCTAATCATCGATCACAGCCATCTAATTTTGAGTAACTTCCTTGTTCTTGTAATTTAAGATGATACGTTGACCTGACGGTATGAGTTTGCATGATGTCAAAGATTTACTGTTCTACTATTTCATCTCCACATAATATGGGAATTTGTTCTATCTTTGTAAATTAAGTCTAATAAATTTAACTACAAGACATAACCTTTTCAATTTTACCTAGGAAAATCTCTCTCCGGAAAGCCTTTTAGCATTAACAGAGAGATCCTCTCATGTCCACACTTCATGGATGAGCAAGAATGTGGCCTCATTTTGAAGTGTTGGATCAAACTGATAGTTGGTGATAAAACGTTTCAAATCTTTCATGAAGCCTTGCTCTCCATATCCTTCCTCACTATGATGGAAAATGACATATGACCTAATCCGTTAAATATTTACCCTTTCTGAAATTAATATCAAAGTCTTTAATGGTGTATCAAGCGCACTATGTATTGGTTCCGCAGATTTAGATGGTTCTCCTATTAGAAGAGAAAATTAGCAACAGAAGCACATAGCAAAGAGTTTAATAAGATCTTCGGCATGACATACTGTTCAGCCTCAAATCCAGAGCATGAAATTGTTCCGTCTTTGCATCAAAGTTTTAAATGTTGGATGTCAGGTTCATGTCAGACAGCTAAAATTCATGTCAAATAGTGAAAATCGGGGATATGTCAGGGGACATACTAAATATCGGATTGCCATATCAGATGGATTTCTACTCAATTTTGGTCACCAAGATGGAATGCACTTGTTTTGTTATAACTTATCCTACTTGAGTTGAGTATTCATCATCAAGACACGAGTTATTTTCCATTTCTTGAAGGGAAACATTAGAATATTATGCCAACAAATAAATAAAATACACATTGTCAAACTAGAACTTTCGAAATGCCTTGCATAAAATTAACATAAAGTAAAGTGTCTTGCATAAAATTGACATGAAGTGCTAGACTTTGAATTGATTTCAAGCTACGGTTCAAACTTATTGTTTACATCACGCTTTTATGAATTCTCATTTTCAATTTGTAGAGACGAAGATGAACGAGAGGAGATCGCGGCGGAAAAGAGAGCAATATTTTTTTTCTTTGCCTAATTTGTATTATATGCTATCGGGTTACTATGGGAACAAAAGGCTAAAAAAAGAATTAATCAGGTTAGACTTTTGAGTTTTAAAACCAAACCCCAATACTTATCAACCCAAAAAAAACAAAAAATAAAAAAATTGGCCGATTTTTAATTTTTCAAGGCCGAAAATCGGCCGATATATCCGCAATATACCCCAACATGTCCGACATGGGCCTCGAAAACGATATCCAACTTGAAATGGTCATATCCATGTCGTTCCAGCCTCTTATCCGACATGCCGGCCGACATGACAGCCGACATTTAAAACCATGCTTTGCATTGAGCACATCCTGCTTAACTGTTCTAAACTCAACTGGCCTCTTAAAATGGATCAGTAAATAAGGCGCAAGACCATCAACAAACAATTCCAGACTCGCACAAGTTTGTATCTTTTGTTCAAATCCAGTGACAAGGACGCTCAAGTCCGGGGTTTTTTCTCCGCACCTCTCTTGCCTATACTCCCAAGTTTGTACATTTGCATTTGATCGGTAACTTAGGGCTGTGATTGTTGTTGCTGCGGCTAGACCCTCAATAACATATAAGTTTTTTTTTTTTTTTAAAGCCCCCGTCAAAAACGCCACAAAAGAATGGCTTTTTAACCTACGCAAACGGGTGAGAAAGAAAAAGGGGAAGAGGACCTACCGGCGAACTTGTCCTGCAAATTCGAGGGCGGCACGATCTCCGAGGTCTGAGGACGGCGGAGGGAGCATTTTACGATGGAGACGTCGGAGGAGGAGAGAGGGGTATCGGCGACAAAAGAGGGGGTGGTTCTGGGGACTTGTTTGTGGGGAGTGGGATCGTCGACGTCGATCACGAGAAGAGTCGGAGGCGCTCCGCCTCTTTCTTCTCCGGTGATGATGCTGGTGCTGTTGGGTCTCTTGGCAGGGCGGAGGGGCGTCGGGGACAAGGATGAGATGTCGTCGTCGGAGATGATATCGATGGACATCGGAGGAGGGCGGTCCATTTTTTCCCCCCTATTTTATTATTAGTTCTTTGAAATTAGTTCGCGGGGGGAGGATGGGAAGTGACGAAGGATTCTTGAAGAAATTCTTCCCAAGAGAAGAGAGGATCTCTTTCCCCTGGCTGGGATTGCGGGTGGATTTTTTTTCCCAAGTGCCGGGGGATCCGATTAGGAACGTGGGCATCAAACCGCAACAGATTTACCTGATGTCTTGGGCTGTTGTCTTGAAAATTCAATAAAGCATCGCCCATCGCAGCGGACGGCCCGGTCCAATCTGGAAAAAGAACAAAGAAGCAATTTTTCGTTTCTTCTTATATCTTGTTCGTCATCATTTTCATTCGTTCCCTCTCAAGTGAAGACCACCACCACCACCACCACCTCAGATGGTGACGACTGTTGGATATTTTGAAAAGGTCAATATTGACACCTAACTAATCTCCACTAACCCCGCTAAAAATTCCTAATTCCCCTCTAACTACAGCCACTTCTTTGGACTCGTTCTCCTCTCACTAATATAAAACACATTTATTTAATAAAACCCTAAGTCCCCAAAGCTCTTCATGGTTTTATCTCTGCCGCTGTTCCTTCTCATGTTCCGAACTCCAAAGACAGAAAAATGAGAGAGAAGAGAGAGAAAGTTAGAGAGGGGTTAGGGGAGATTGTCTTCATCATCCCTGTCACCTAGCACGCGATTGTCAAAGCAATGGGAGTGAACAACTTTTAGCAAGGATCTCTTCGTCTAGCTATCCATATCAATCAACGTGAGTAAATCGTCATCACAGTTTACTTTTCTTTTTGGGCAATCTTATTCATCTGAGCAGAAGCTCTGTACTCTCGCCCCAGTACAGAGCCCGGTTGTTTCCGAGGGCTTTTACCGCTAGGGGGAGGGGACCAACTGCGCCAAGGCGATAGGCGGGTCCTCAATCTTAGGCGGGTCCTCAATCTTCTAGGACAGTGATTACACGACTGCTTTCCGTTCAGGCCTGATTTTCTTATCTCTTACTTATTTAATTCGGATTTAATTTACATGCTGTAACTTTTATTTGATATTTTTTTTTCAACAATCTAGAAGATTGAGTGATTATAGCATTTAAGTATTAAAGCCCAAATAATTATAATTTATAATTCTTCTATTACTGTTAAAAAATTAATTGTTATTGTTTATCTGTTACTGTTCATCCGAAAGAGAATTTAAAAAAAATCTCGATGAATTGATGCATGCTAACTAAATAGAGCTACAGTAGTATACTTCTGTGCAATTACATAGAGTTCTACAGTTGTCTATATGCTTTGATTCAAATATTTCTCAAAATATACAATGAGGTGTAAGTTCTTCTGGCTGTAGGAACTAGTAACATCGGAATGATTTTAACAAACTTTTGTTTGAAATTTATTATCCTTGTGTTATATGTTTGGAGATTAAGTTTAGCAATCTTCTTCTGCAACTTCTCTCAGATGTGAAATAAATTATATTCGTGTAAAAAAATTTGGGTTGAAATTTGTTAATTTTACTTTATTTCTTCACCCACCATATATTAATCTACAATTGTCGGTAGCTCATACTATTGTGATTATGAGATATATTATAAGGTTTCATGATTTCTACACAATGGGTTGAGTGTCTTAAGTTATAATGATCTCTTGACAAATTATGCACATATGTCATCTGCACACTTTCATAATCAAACATGGAAACTAGCATCTAATTCATAGTATGCTAATGTCACTTCATCCTCTCTTTTATTAACAGAAGGTTTGAATTATTTTAAGTATATAATGATCTGCTACACCTTTTGTGAAATTTTCTTGTTTGTTATGGTTATCCATTTGTATTTTACTAATTATTCATAGCATATCTGCTATCCTAGTATAGCATTATACCTGTTGCCAATATGCGTCATGTCACGATGTGCTTTCATTGGTTTTAAAGTTTTGATCACTCTTAACTACCCATGCCTGCATCAGAAAGTTGACTCTTGAGGAATTCACATACTTTTTCAAGCATATGTATCTTGATGAATTTGTTAACTACATTACATGGCAATTCATTAGTCTGAAATTTTTCTTTTAGGACTAAGTTTGCATCTTTTAATTCTATTTTATATGGTGAATTATATTTTAAATCTTCAAAAGTAAAGATTATCTCATTTATTGCATTATGATGGATATTACTATAAATGTTCATATGTCATATTAGATCACTTGCATTTGTTACATTTTATTGCATTATGATGGATATTACTATAAATGTTCATATGTCATATTAGATCACTTGCATTTGTTACATTACAAGGATCTTGCCGTGTGTCGCACACGCTGACGTACACCTGTTTTTCTCTGGTGTACGTCAGATTTAGGAGACGGACAGCCTCAGTTCGGGATAGTACAGGAACCGGAGGATTTGCAGCAGTAAGGTCTTCCAGATGGATCAGAAGAACAATCTGAAGCTTAGACTTTTTCTTTCTGTAGTAGTTGATGAACGCTAGATCTCTTTTGCAGAACCTTACTTCAGTCTGGTGTTGGATTTAGTTATTTTAGCAGTATATAATGTCAAAATGATATGTTTAAGAGGTGGTACTAGAAATGACCATGCAAATTTGGAATGTCTCTTTTGTAGGTAACCAATTTAAATTTGGAAGGTCACCTTTGTAAGAAACCAATTTGCAATCTCTTATAATAGGAGAATTTTAAAAAAAAATTATACATATGAAGTATGAAATATACTTTAAGATACGAAATCCTATTATAAGATTCTCTACAATGCTTTGTATGTAACTATTAGTAATTTCATTCGTTTATGTGCATATGCATGCATGTGAAGATATAACTGCAGTAATTTAGTTTCACATTAGTTCTATCATTTTAATAGTGACTAGAAAGAATCAATTTTATAGCTCTTCTTTTGTCTACATATATAATGCTTTCTCTTGAGATTTTAGGAAATGATTAGAGTTGATATAAATATGCTCTGCCAACTAGTATGCCTAGTTACAGGAGTTGTGATGAATCAATGTCCTGGAAAATCAAATCAAGAGGTATATCTTATAACTTCTTTCTATATGATGAATTGTGATGAATCAATGTCCTGGAAAATCAAATCAAGAGGTATATCTTATAACTTCTTTCTATATGATGAATAAAAGTTATATTGAAAAATCAAATCAAGAGGTATATCTTATAACTTCTTTCTATATGATGAATAAAAGTTATATTGAAATTAGTTCATCAAATAATTAAAAAATGCTATTAGGTTCCCTTATCCTTATAAATTATTTCAAATTAATTTCTCCTCTTGCTTCTTGTACTCTTGCCCGGAGAGACTAATTTTAAAATAACTTAACAAGAAGGGGACCTAATGTTAATTTCAACAATATGAAGGGCTAATTTTAAATAACTTAAGAACTAGAGGACTTGATAAATCTATACAACGTCTGCTAGGCAAAGTTATGATCTTAGACTTTGTAAAGTCTGAGAAGAATTTTGCTGACCCTTTGATTAAGGGTTTATCCAAGAGTGTGGTTCTGGATTCATTGAGAGAGATGGGGTTAAGCCAATAAGTGAGGTCACTGACAGTGGTAACCCAACCTTTATTTAGAGACGTTGTCCCAATGTAGGTTCAATGTGGTAGTAACAAGATGGACTAGTGACACTCGTGTAGAGCATCGACCTAGATATATTTATATATCATTATGATAGCATCTGCTACTTTTCCTTCTATATGGTGACGATGCTCTTATGATATAGCTAGTTAGGCTGAGTTTTACTCTTAATAAGTCCAACGCGTGCATTGGGAGGGTATGATATCCAGCTGTAGTATCCTTGGAGGACTTACCTACGAGAGAAGAATCGTGATGACCGTGGTTGGGGGGGAGGGGGCTGTGCTAACCCCTAGAAACTCTCATGAGTCGGTTTATTGTGAGCATGGCTTTTAACGCTCAATCCGGTTTGCTCAATAGATGAATACGTATTGTGTGTGTTTTCGTCAATACCTGATACAATGGGCCTAATTCAAGGCCTAGTCTATTAGATTCCTCAGGTGGCGATGAACTCACTAAGGAAATGTTCAAAGCTGAAAGTTACCCCTCCCGAATTCACGATACGAAAGGTTGCCCAACCTATATTTATTTTATGATTTATTGATTTATTTATTGTTTTGAGTTTTTAGCTAATATTGCCTTTTTTTTTGGGGGGGGGAGGGGGGACTGTTGGATATTTTAAAAAGGTCAATATTGATACCTAACTAATCTCCTCTTTAATCTCCACTAACCCCACTAAAAATTCCTAATTCCCCTATAACTATAGTCACTTATTTGGACTCTTTCTCCTCTCACTAATATAAAACCCATTTAATAAAACCCTAAGTCCCCAAGCTCTTCGTGGTTTTATCTCTGCTGTTGTTCCTTCCCACGTTCCGAACTCCAAAGAAAGAAAAATGAGAGAGAAGAGAGAGAAAGTTAGAGAGGGGTTGGGGGAGATTGTCTTCATCATCCTTGTCACCTGGCACGCAATTGTCAGAGCAAAGGGAGCGAGCAACTTTTAGCAAGGATCTCTTCGTCTAGCTATCCATATCAATCAACGTTGGTAAATCGTCACCACAGTTTACTTTTCTTTTGAGCAATCTTCTTCATCTGAGCAGAAGCTCTGTACTTTAGCCCGAGTACAGAGCCCGGTTGTTTCCGAGGACTTTTACCGCTAGGGGGAGGGGACTGACTGCGTCAGGGCTATAGGCGGGTCCTCAATCTTCTAGGATAGTGATTACACATCTGTTTTCCATTCAGGCCTAATTTTCTTATCTCTTACTTATTTAATTCGGATTTAATTTACATGATATAACTTTTATTTGATAATTTTTCCAACAGGTTCTGCATCTTAGCTCCTCCTCAGGCTCTCCCTCCGCCCAGAGGAACCAGCTGCAGCTCTGGCAGCAGCGTAAGCGGGAGCAGCCTCGCTTATGGATGGAGACTGGGGATGAGAAGCTGTAATTAATTAATCTGATGATGACGACGGATGGTAGGAGTATTAGCAGCAACGGCGTTAGGAGTGTGGCGGCGAGCTGGTGTGTATGCGCTCGCGCTCAGCTAAGAGAAAGATGGACTCGGCCGCTCTGCCCACTGCTTGATTCCCCGTCCGTACTTTCTCCCCTCATTAATCTTTTGCTACTGTCATTTATTACTTATTATTATTATTACATTATTCTTAAAAATTCATAGCGGTGTTGGCTACTTAGTATAAAGAGGAGCATTACTTTTGTTGGGGTGGAGATCATGATTATGTAGTATAGTACGTACATAAGCCGGTTTTTTGCTAGTCTTGTGGCACCTCTTTTGCAAGTTTTCAATAAAAGCCAACGCCTTCGATGACCGCAGAGCTGCTAGAAGCCTGAAGTTTTGAGGCTGGCCAACCAACATCCTGAAGAGGTAAAGCCATACGTTTATTTTATTTTCTTTATGTACGTAGTCAAGGGATATCTGAGGGTCGAACA